GCGAATCGCGCGATTCGCTAGCGTCTGCGGTCGCGTCGCGGCCAGTGAATCACTCAATTGGCTGGTACCGCAACGCGACCGCGGACGCTAGCGAATCGCGCGATTCGCAAAGTCTGACATCGGCCTTACGATGCTGCCTTCCTTATTCGTTCTTCAAGAACAGCCTAGAGATAGGGGAAAACGGGGTTAGAGGTTGGCGAGGGAAAAGAGGTCAACTGCTATTAGTGGGTAGAGCACGCACCTAAGTGGGCGGAGTTTGCCAAAAGTGTCGTAATTTGGTTCCAAGAGGTCCCAGAGACCGGTGAAAAAAGGGGTAGAGGTCGGCGAAAGGAAGGGGCCAAATGCTATTGGTGGGCGGGGCACGCACCGAAGTAGGCGGAGTTTGCCACGAGATTTATTGTCCGGAAGCAGTCCGGAGCCGAAGAAAAAAAAAAAAAAAAAAAGAAAAAAAAAAAAAAAAAAAAAAAAAAAAAAAAAGAAAAAAAAAAAAAAAGAAAAAAAAAAAAAAAAAAAAAAAAAGGAAAAAAGAAAAAAAGAAAAAGAAAAAAGAAAAAAAAAAAGAAAAAAAAAAAAAAAAAAAAAAAAAAAAAAAAAAAAAAAAAAAAAAAAAAAAAAAAAAAAGAGGAAATGGGACGAAGAAAAAAAGGTTGAAAGCCGTCGATGATGGAGCGGATTGAATTTAGCTGAGGATTCAGATATTCGTAGTGTATCAAGCCAAATATGAAAATTTTTGTCGCACCATCAAAATTCGCAGCAGATCTGTGTTGCGCGCGCAATGCGTGCGGCGCCAACTGGTTGCGTAGTAAAGAAGAAGCACATATGGTGTGTAGGCATTCGGTGCATGGGAACTCGCCGACAAGTGAATGCTGCACGATAGACTTGCAGCAGCTGCAATGTTTCCAGTCCGCAGCAGGCTGCTGCCTCGCGCCCTCTCACCTGTTGCGCTCTCTCGCCTCATACACTCCTCTCCGCGCTCAGTCTTTCATTGCTTTAGCACAGCTGCATTACGAAGGAGAGCAAACCTTTTACCTGCACGGTTTCAACGTAATCGCTTTCTTTCTTCTTTACAGTAGACCCATTTCACGATGAAGTTTTCATATTCGTGCACAAGAACTAAATCAGTTTGGCCCGGCGGCACCTCCAAGAGGCTAAAAGGGCAGAATCTAAGCAGTCTCTACACATTTCTTCCCTACATGCTTTTCCACGCATCTGGTGACCAAATACGCAGCAAATAGATGTAGCTAGCTCTTTATGTACTCCATCTCAGGAAATAGTTGTATAACATTTCTATATAAGCTTATTGCATAGCACAATGATTACATTAAGGTTTCTTCTTCATTTATTACCTTAGCACTGGCTTTAATTTATGGCGTTTCTTTCCCCACATAGGGGACTTATCCAAGATCGGGCCAAATTCTTCACATTCGAGGATGAGTGGATTTTCCTTGTAGGATATCCCGCTTTGTTTATCTTAATCTTTGATCTCTGATCAGATCACAGTAAATGTCGAGGTTGTGTTATCAAAAATGCATTCAAACAGGCGTTTCGTAGGCAGGCCTAGTGCTTTTCGACATCGCTTTTAATCTTGGACCGGCGCGGCTATTTTAGACGAAATGCAAAAAAAAAACCGTGGGCTGGGGGCTACAACTACGGTGGTCGATAAAGCCTCACTGCTTAATTCTCCCCACCGCATATGAAAGCATTCCTTGTCCTGATTGGTTGCCTAGTAACTGAGTTTGTCTCGAGGAATAAAACAATAATTTAAACATAAGTCACCTTGTCAGCGGCCGGCATGTCCTCATGTCGACGTAATACACACCCCACTTTTGTGTTACGAATCGAGACCTAGTGCATACAAAAAGTTTTAGTCAACAAAATGGGCATACAACCTTACTGCTCCCTTTTCTTCTTTGTTCTCATAGATGGATATAACGAGCATTAATGAATCCACTAGGATAGGGGTGATCTTGAGGGATTTGATTCACGAAGCGGCAGTGAACTCTTACCCTAGCGTTGAAGGCAGTTATGCTAGAGAGCGGTGCGATTTGGAGGACGTCATATGGAACGGCATTGGTCACTATACATAGGCGAGCAGCTATTGTTTTTGTTGTAGTAAGAGAATAACTTCACTGAAAGATTCCAGCTGATATGGCGTCAGAGGTCGAAAAAGGGTACCCTTCGCTGCGGAGTCACGCGCGTCCAGCAATCTTAGGGAGCCTGCCGCCTTTCTCCTTAGGCATATATCCCTAGGCCTAACCGAAAGGCAGGCGCGCTCCCGAAGGCTGCTAGCGACGCGCTTCTCACAGCGAAAGTACCTACTCATCGCTCGCGCCATGGCATGCCCACCCTCTCGCTGTCTGACTCTGGCCATTCAGTAGAGAGAGAGCGTTAGCGTAGAAGGGCAGCACCAATCAGAGGCGCATCAACAGGCAGGAAGATGTCCATTTTCGCAGGAAGCTGTTTCTCATTGTTTTTTTTTCTTCATCTGCACCAAGGGACCACCTCTTTACTGACTTCTAATGGGCTGACTTTCATCGCTAGATTCGTTGAATTCCCGCATATCAACGCAACGCTAAACATTACTTGTTAAGCGGGCAGCTGTTTAATCTTCGTGAAGGTCTAAATCTTCTCGTTTCATTTCCTTTGGGACCGACGTAGTAATCGTAGATTATCCGCATTAGTCATCTTGTCTCAGATTATAGTCCTCTTTAGGGTTTTCAGTTTCCTAAAGGTTTGGTATTAGTAAGATAAAAGATTATTGCATTTTTTTCTTTGGACGCACAGATATGTGCGTACTCATGCTTTGGCTGCAGAGGTGGTGCAAAGGCAAGCAGCGCCACTTTTCACACGGGCAAGTCCCTGTTCAAATCTCGCCCTGGCCAAAAAATGCCATTCATCCCTTCGGAGTCGGTCAAGAGTAGACCTAGAATGGACGAACGACGTAGCCGATTTCTAGTGGATCCGCAGATCCGCCTCCCGTTTAGTGGATCCATTCACGATTTCAACGCGAAGCAGATGTTTAGCGGCATCCCAAACGAGATGGGATTAGTGCGAGTTGTCGTGTTCAGAAGCTTTGGGTCATTCTTGGATAAGCTTTTTCTGGTTTTTACATTGTTTTTTGCCCGCAGAAGGGATGCATAATCTCAGGGGATTTTCCTTCGAGATGGGCTACTGGTTTACACATAGCTGCAGAGCTCTCTGAAAGAAGGTCTATCTAGCGCCTTCACACTACTCCCTCAGAATCGTAGCGCATTGTTGATTTCGGTTTGAGCTGCATGAGCGAAGTGAAGAGAGTGTGAGCCATGGCTCCTCGTCTCCACATGGTTCCATGCACATCCATCATTGTGTTGCCTCATCTGTGTCGCCCCGCTGATCAGCTGTTATCTGTTCTTTTGTCTTTCTCGGCCCCACCCTCATCTCTCCGCTTTCCTCTGATTGCTCAACGCAAGTAGGTAGTGTTTGTTCTTGCCTTTGCGAAATAAGCATTCACTTCACGATCGTCTCTTCATATCAGTAGAATTACAAAATCAAGCGTTCATCTTTTGAACCATGCCACTGGATTTGAATGGTGGCGTAACTGAATCTGGTACATGAAGTGCGTGTGAAGGAGGAATCGCCATTTGGAAAAAGAACAAAGAACCGTAAACATCAAAAATAGAGATTCACTTTCACTCGCATAAACCAGATCTCATTCGTGTCAATTCTATGCCTATGCAAGTCAGCATTGACGTCATAGAAATGTGGAATGATTAATTTGATATCCATCCAAGACCACTATTTCAGCGCAAAAAAGGGCTAGAAGTTGAGTTTATCATGTTGGTAGGTATGATAGATGGATTTGTTTGTTGCGACGTAGGAGCAACCTTTAACTGTGCTCAGACAAGGATAGAAAAGCGAGAAGAATTAACAACAATTTGAACGCCAAAACAAAGTTCATGAGGTGGATGATGTCGTGTGGGCGCGACACTGATTCGGAGGGCCTCACAAAGCAGGTGCAGGCGTAATCGTCTCACCGGCTTGAGTTCACAAAGGCTTTCTCCGTTTAAGCACGAGGCTCTTTAAACTCACGGAAACTCTTTCCTAGCGGGCTACTGGGGCCTATTCAGCGAGCCACTAAGGCTCTTCTCTTCAGGACTCAGGCCAAGTTATTGAGCCACTGAGGCTCCTCTCTGACGAGCAACTGAGGATCTCTTCATCAGGCCACTAAGGCTAACTTTCCGTGGTCTAGGCCTTACGCGCCAACCAGGGTCAACCGTTACGTTGGACCGATATTGGAGCGACGTTGGACCGATGTTCACCGCTCTCCGCGCCGGCATTCACTCTCGCCACCCGCGAGCCGTCTGTGTCTCCGTGCGTACGTTCACTCTCGGCATTACTCTCGTCGTCGCGTTGGACTTTGTCCAACGGACGGTTGACCCTGCGTACAGCTCCTAACCAACCACCACGATAAGGCACCATACACATGCCACAGGAACTAGGCAGGTACTCCTCAACATCAGAGCTACGGAACACCGGAGCTCTGGAACTGGAACTGGAAGAAGAAGAAGTACTGCATAGGAACACGGACCCCTTTTATTGGGACCTTCCCGCCCAAGTCGTTTCCCTCTGGCAAAGGTGGCCTCCATGACCCCCCGCGATCAACTCCTACCACCCCCTTGTCGATATACCGCTCAGACCAGCTGATCTACAGCTGATCTCTCGGGGTCGGCATATCAGTCTCTAACAATATTCTAATTTTAGGCATATCTGTTGAGGGGCTCAGCACATGTTCATGAGCCTTAACATGGCTGGTTTGAATCATTAGCATAAAATGTCAAAATTTTTTTGATACGTATGGCACACAGTGCATAGTTACATTGTAAGCTTACCCTTGCGCAAATGGTAATCCCCTCTACTCCGAGCAACACCAAAAAATGGTGAAAAATATGGTAACTTAGAGGATGGCTATGGTTCCTCAATGGATGGAAAGTACTAGATTCACATATAGATTGGTTACTTACATTGTCTTAGTTGGTCGAAAAGAGCATCTATAAGGCGTTTTTCATTAGGACCATAATTTTTATAATATTCCTGTAATAAATTATATCGCTGATTTTTAAAATAGCTGTTAGTGCTTTCCCAATGGAAATAAACATTTTGTGTTCAAAGACTAGGCTTGGATAAAAATTCGCCTATAATTATTTGGTATAGCTTAGGACACGACGGTGAAAGGGGAACACGACCTGCCCGAAAAATCGAAACCTAAGTGATGAATCAGAACAGAGGGATGTGGAAAAGAACCGGACACCTGGCCGATTATCGGCCTCAATATCTTGAAATGTTTCTCGAATCAATTTTGATTGGATTCAATTTCTGGCTAGGAATAGAAGTGGTTCAACTAACGTGCGGGTCAGGTTTTATGTTTCAAAACAGGGTGTCCCCCAACAGGCCCACCGCGCGGCGAAAGAGAGGAGTTGCAGCGCGTGCTGTGCGATATGAGACGTAGTATGGTACACTCTCTTTAACCTGACGCCTAACCGCTACAGTATGCGCTGCGACTCGTCCCTTTGCCGCGTCTGCGTTCTTGCGCGCGGGCCTGTTGGGGGACACCCTTCAACCAATATCTGGTTTAAATTAAGCTTGCTCGAAAGAAAGGTATTCAAGCAGTTCGAGTGGTTGGGTCTGGAAGAAAATGAACGGATCAGGGTCGGGCTATTTTGGCATTGTTTATCTATGCTCCTTCTTGACACTTGTAAAATCGAAAACAGCAGCAAAAAGTAAATTTACCTTGAATGTTTCCCGTTTCATATGACAAATACGCGAAGTAGTAGCAAGCAATACCAAATTGATCCTTCTTCGATTTTACTAATGGCTTCTTATCATTGTTTTATCACAACAATTAACTATACATATAACAAATTATACATGGTAAGAGAAGCTTTTTCACCACATGCACTACTATTTCTACAACGGACCTAATGAAGGACAATAAATGATCAACGCCTGTTCAATAAAACCAAATAAGAAACTTGATCTTCACACCTGAAGGTTTTTCCGCATAGGTTCGGCCTGTACCATCTCCTCTCCCTGATTAGTTATTAGGACTTGCATGAATACCTGCTGCCCGGTATAGGCGTTATTTCAAAGGACGAATTCACGATGAAAAAGCAACCCATTTCAAATTAACCTAGGGTGAGTGGTACACGAAAGAAGGAAGAACCATGAGAAACGGCCCAGAACCCGAGAAATGGTACCCCTTCCTTGCCCGTTGATTCGAGCATTGATGCGACTCTCATCGCTGTGCCCTCTTCAACACTACGCTCTCTCAGCTATCTAATCACTCGCCACGTATTGAACTACGGCGAGTGATCAGATGATCGGTGGGCGGAGATCGCCGGACCCGCCAGCTTTGAGGCATGATAGGTCGCCGAGGTCAAATTTTTCCATGCGAATTGCGCGTCAGTTCGCACCCTCAGGAGGTCCGTGGGTCCCTCAACTAGGTCAGTTTCCCTTTCTTCGACCTTCATTCTAATCGTGAATTCCTCCTTTAAAGGAATCCTTCGCGGAAAAATCATGATTCTATTTCAGCCATAAATCACTGGCTTGAGACTCATTATCCACGATAAGAATGAAAAGAACAGAAATATTGCTTTTGTTTTGGTAAAAATTCGAAAAATCGAAAGGGCTGCTACGCGTTCAAAGTGCCCACGGACGTCTTTCACAAATGCTGGCGACGGGGATGCTCACTTGGTTCTTGGAGTGCCTTCACTAGAAACTCTTTCTGGCCTTCTGCTTTATTGCATTCACATCTTACACTTCTACTCCATCCTATTCTATCGATCGATTTGTCTCTACTCTCCGAAATCGCGCGCTTTAACCCGATTCTTTCATTGCGTCGCCTGATACGTAGCCGGCCAAAGGCCAACTTCTTTCCATGCCTCGTTTGGCTCCGCCCGAATTACCTTCGATGTCCATAACGTGTAGTTTTTGTACGTTTGTTTCTCTTCGGAAACCGAATCTTCATGCGTGAAACTTTGTGTGCTATTTCCAGTGATCACAACTGACATATTCATGTTAGGAAAGAGTGCAAGAATTTTCCGCGAAGGATTCCTTTAACACGTTGACGACCGTGTGGTATGATGTCATACCACACTCTTTCGGCCACGTGGGACCGTGTGACATGATGTCATGTCACAGTCTTTTTTAAGCTGGTTTTCAAACATTTTAGGTAACTTATTTACGTGATGTATGCGCCATACTTAGGCATTGTTACAAAAGGCGTGGTCCCTGGAAAGAAGCTTCGGTTGATGGGCTATCGAGTTTTTCTAAAAAATTTTA